GGGAAGGGGGGCAGCGACTCACCAAGCTTGTCCGGCTCCTCGGGGCCCGTGCCCGCGATGCAGCTGCTCTCCAGGCCGTAAGTGGGGTCCACCTTCCCAGAGGCTCGAGCTGCTTCTTGTACTTTCTTGACATGAGCTTCCACCAGTTCCAGGGGCACCTCCTCCCGGACCCGAGAAAACTCCTCTGTTTAAGAACACAACGGGACGGGGACCTGGTTTTACACAAGTATGTGCTTCACGTAAATCACCAGGACACCCACACACACTCGTGTCTTGTGTGCAGTGACCTTTCTGGGGACTCGGTCCATCTTCCCAGGACAACAGGACAAACGAAACACCGCGCACGGTAATGAAAATCTGGTGGCTGTGCTAGTATCTCGCTAAATAATAAGACACATCTCTGAATTTATATCATTAACAATCAAAACTGCTGTCCAAATTTTATCCACCTGCTTGGCTAGATCGATAATAAGGAAGACAGCAAACACAGACACCAGAACGCCAAGGAGAGTTCTGCGACCCGATGACGGCCTCGTTCCAATCAGTATGGGATCCAAGAATGTCACAGACTCCTTTTGCCAGTCAATCAACTTTCAAGTGAATCACAAAATATACCGTAAAAAATACTCTCCCCCATTCTTAATGCTTTCAACTTTAAAACTACTACATTTTAAGTGCTTCCGTCTAAATTGTGATCCTTTAAGTACAACAGCATCGAATGGGTTGTTATGTAAGTAACCAACGAATGCAGCCCAGGAGGACATTTAAGGGGCACTGGGTGAGGGAAGCAGGAGGCCACTATCTGCACGTGCCACGCGGGAGAGGGCTCCGCGGAGTCCGTACCCAGAGCCGCTTTAGCTGCAGCAGATGCCACTCGAGGGTCCACCACCGACGCCAGGAAGGCTACCGTGCTCATGACGGGGTTTCCTGACTGGCTGAAGGGGACCGGCTGGTAGGCCAGGGGCCCCAGGGAGGCGTCCGAGTTCTCCAGGTACGGGTCCTCGATGGGCAGCCGCAGGAAGTGCAGGATGCACTCGTCCTGCGTGCGGCTGCCCACGTGCTCCGACACCTTGTTCCAGTCGTCCTTGTACATCTCCAGGGCCTGCAGGGACAGACAGCTCTCATGTTGGAACAAGGACAAGCCACACGCCTGCGGCTGCTTCCAGATGTTTTCAGAACAACAATGAAAATGGTTTTACTCTACAGTAAAAGGGATGCATGTCATAAGGAAAACCTGTGTGTGGTTAACACACATGAGTGTTTATAGAGAAAGTCCTAAGGAACCTGTAAGAAGGGAACCAACGCTGAAAGTACTGCACGGTCACAGGATAAGAGGGAATAGAAAAGCTCATTTGTGCAATAAAAAGACGTTTAATTGGGGGAACTTAAAGCATTTAAAATAGCACAAAAATGCAATACTAAGGAATAAATATATGAAAGAATGTGTAAAGTCCACAAATTGAGAAAATAAAACTTACCGAGAGAAATCAAAGATCTAAATAGATACTGTGCTCATTGATAAGCAGTCTCAGGACGGTTCGGATGTCAATTCTCTCCAAACTGAACTAGATTCAACGCAACCCCATTCAATCTCCAAGCTTTTTTTCGTTAAAAATTTGGAAGCAGTACTAACATGTATGAAGGACACAAATCTCTAGTTTTAAAATTTGTAATTTTTCATAGGAAACGCTGAAAAACTTCAATTGAACAACAACAAAACTAAAAGTCATCTCCCCCAAGAGGGAGGAGGATAGAATGGAAAAAAACACAGAAATACATGGAGAGTCGAGGAATCGACTGGGTAAAAAGAATCTATTCAGTAGCCTCCCGAAGTTCTCTCGAGAGCCGTGACTCCAGGGCCTTCGGCAGTGTCTGGAGACATGGTGGCTGACATAACCGGGGCGTTCTACCGGCATCCAGTGGGAAGAGGCCCTGGTGCGGTTCAACGTTGGACAATGCATGTGAGAGCCCAGAACACAAAAACGATCGGCCCAAGTGCCAAGAGCCGCCGACTAAAAACCCCTGCTCTAGAACCACCAAGCACTGTCACCTGACTTCATGTCCCTCAGCTACTAGTTACTGACAAATACACTACACAAAGAGGGTGCTGGTGGTAAACAAAGCTGCCGGAAGCCTTTTATTTCTCTTTGTGTGAGCGCGGACAACACCTGCTGATTCAAGTGTATGTTTAAAAGAAAACCAACCGCGGCACAGCGCCACCTGCAGGAGGAAAGGCACTGTGTGTGAAGCGACTGGGCTTCGACAAGGCAGGTGAACAGGGGCCCGGCCTCGGCCCTCCCTCTGTACTTATCCGGCTAGTCCTGCACGGAGAGGAGGAGACATTCTGGTATCAGCGTGCAGGGGGGAACTGATGTGAGACTGCTGGTGTGGCACAACTAAGTTTCTCTGCAGAACACAGACTCTAAAAGAGCAACACAACACTGTACTCGATCCCCCACAAGTCCTGAGCCCTTTTAAATGAACCTCCATGGCAGATAGGACTAGACAAAAACAGTCCTGAAATTTAAAAAGAGGCTCAGAAAAGCTCTCTGTATATCACTGATACTGAATGGGCAGATGAGAATAAATTAAAATAGCAGTAAACACTCCAAAAGAAGCAATCTTTTTGGATTTTGATCCAGAGAGCGAGCAGTGGAAAGAATCTTGGAATTGCCCGCCTGCAGAAATCTAGTTGAACAACAACCAGCGTCCTTGCGCTTGCGTCTGCTGCAGCCGCTGTCCTGTTCCTTGCAGGCGGGGCCCTGCTAGCGTGTCTGGCGGTCAACACCCTCACCTGGTCCCACGTCAGCTCCCACGGGCCCATCTACACTAACACCGAGCAGTGTCACGTCTGTTCTGTAGCTACGGACAAACGGTCCCTCTTCAGAAATGGCTGCTAAACACGAAACCAACAGTCTCCACGTCCTGCCCGCCCGAACAGACATGATCGCCAAGACCGACGTGTGCAGCACTGAGACCCTCCCGAGCCACGAGGAGACCCAGGTGAGGACTGACAGGACGCGGGTCCTGTCACTTGCGCCTGTCCGGCCGGGGCTTTCATAAACCAGCAGTGCTGTCCACCCAGGGCTGGCATCTTCAGCTACTTCTCTGAGTCCTGGGAAGGAGGCGGGCACACACCCAAATGCATACAAGCACTGGGGACACATCCACACAACTAAGTGGGCTGAGTTCAGAAAAACTGGACCTAAATAAAGGCTCGACCTCAAAGGCACGTCTGCTGTCCCAGGCCAGCAATCACTGCTCCGTGAAAACCAGGTCCCAGAACGGCCAGGCCTTCCCATTTTGGAGGAAAAGTTAGAAAACTTTAGCAAAGCTCCAATATTTATTTAATGTTGGCAACAGATTTTAAGCAAAAGAAACCCAACCTGGGCCAAAATAACACATATCCAGGCTTGATGTCCTCTACTGAGAGCCAGTGTGCAACCTCCAGGTTTGCTACTTAAATAATAATGACCCACTAAGCTCATTACACGGATGTAAACATTTCACAGTCAGTTCCAAGGCCGATGCCAGCGCCAGTCCTGGAACAGCGCCCCCGCCCCCAGCAGCCAGGCTCCCGTGCTCACCTCCAGCAGCAGCAGGGTCTCCTGCTCCGTCCACTCCCTTCCAGCGCTGGCACCTTTACTCTAAAAACAAACCAGAGTTACTTCCCGCCTGCGCCTGGCCTGGCGCACTGCTCCCAGCAAGCAGAGCAGCGGGAGAGAGCAGGCCAGGAGCCTGAGCCGCTCGCAGGAAGCTCTTTCTTGCCGACCGAAACTCCGACCATTTAGACGTGTTATTTCTATTATTCTGATATTTGAAAATACCCTTTGAAGCTACAAAGGCACAGTGGTTGATGTGTCTCACAAGTCAGCTATACTACTGTAACCACAGCAGATACTGGGTGTAACTCAAGGCAGTACTTTTAATCTCTTGATGAAAATAGTCTCAAATGAGCCCCTGAACCCCAAGTCGCCTTTCCCACAAGAATCCCTGACACCTTACAGTCCATGTGAGCGCTGAAGGCGTAAGAATTAACATTTACCTATTGATTCCTTTTTTTAAAAAAATATATTTTATTGACTTTTTACAGAGAGGAAGGGAGAGAGATAGAGAGTTAGAAACATCAATGAGAGAGAAACATCGATCAGCTGCCTCCTGCACATCTCCTACTGTGGATGTGCCTGCAACCAAGGTACATGCCCTTGACCGGAATCGAACCCAGGACCTTTCAGTCCGCAGGCCGACGCTCTATCCACTGAGCCAAACCGGTTTCGGCTTGATTCCTTTTTAAAAAATGTTTCTTATTGATTTGAGAGAGGAAGGGAGAGGGTGAGGGAGAGAAACATCAATGATGAGAGAGAATCATTGATCGGCTGCCTCCTGCATGGCCCCCACACCGGGGATCGAGCCCACAACCCGGGCATGTGCTCTGACTGGGAATCGAACCATGACCTCCTGGTTCACTCAACCACTGAGCCACTCCAGCTGGGCGGATTCCTATTTTTTATTTGCTTCATTCATATTTGTAGGACTGGATTATGTGGTATAATTGACATTCTTTTTTTTGCTTAAGACTTACTCAAGTGATTAAAAACATTGAAATGCTACTTTAACGAGTTTCAGCTTCTTGGTTAAACACTGTAAGCTTGTTGAAGGCCACCAAAAATCTTTATTGCCTCCCAAAAAAGTTGGGCGAGAAATGACATTATTCTTTACCTATAGATGTTACTAATTCAAAATATACATTCTAACATTATCTCTTCTCTGAAAACTCGATTGTGGAGATTACAATTTGACTAATGAAAAATATTTGGACAGTCCGTGATGTCCTTGCTGTTGTCTATAAAGTTTCTTGATTTACTTCACAGCCTGCAAACACTCTCCATGGCATTCAATACATACCATTCTCAACTATTTGCAAGAGATGTACTGAAGCCCTGGCCGGTTTGGCTCAGTGGATAGAGCGTCGGCCTGCTGACTCAAGGGTCCCAAGTTCGATTCTGGTCAAGGGCATGTACCTTTGTTGTGGGCACATACCCAGTGGGGAGTGTGCAGAAGGCAGCTGATCAATGTTTCTCTCTCATCGATGTTTCTGACTCTCTATCCCTCTCCCTTCCTCTCCGTAAAAAAATCAATAAAATATATTTAAAAAATAAATAAATGTACTGAAAATACTAGCCCTTTGATGAGAGAATAAAGAGGACTCTAAGCCCTGCAGAAACCAAGTTCTTGAGGTCCTGCTTTGAGAGAGAAGATGCATGGAGCTGTAACTCACAATACATTGCTCAGATGCCTGGAGGGTGACTTTCAGAAAACCAAAGGTTCATCTTTGAATCACCATTAGAAGTGACCATGAATCAGATCTGGACCCAGAGGAACAAAACTCATCAACATTCCATCTTAATTCTGAGGAAGCCAAACCCAACGCAGGGCAGAGCCGCGCCACCGCGGCACGGCTGACATCGCCGATCCGTCCTCAGCTGCCATCTCCCCACTCCGCAGCCGAGGACACAGGAAGGGTTCTGTCCACCCCCTCGGCCCAGTGTTTCTCCTCTTGTAGAAACTGGCTCACAGCCCTGCTGGTTTGGCTCCACGGTCAGAGGTCGGCCCAGACTGAAGGGTCCTTGGCTCGGTTCCAGTCAGGGGCGTGGACCTTGGGTGCAGGCTCGATCCCGAGCGCCAGTCGGGGTTTGTGCAGGAGGCAACCGATCAGTGTGTCTCTCTCACATGGATGTTTCTGTCTCCCCACTCCCTTCCACTCTCCCTAAAACAAAACCAAAACAAACAAACAAACTGGCTCACAGAAGAGCACAGAACCTTATCAGGGCCGTGAGGTGTTTGCCGGGGCTTTTGCATATTTTAGAAAATTTCCTTTTGTACTTATTGAGGTAAGATATGCACAATAAAATACATGCATCTTAGGTGTAGAATTTGATGCAATTTCATGTACACATCCATGTAACAACAACTGAAATCAACACCCATTCTTTTACTTTCATAATTGAAGTGTCTTCATATTTAAAGTGAGTTTCTTATAAACAGCATATGCTTGTTCTTGATTTTTTTTCCAATTTGATAATCTGCGCTGCTTAACTGGAGTATTAAAACCATTTACAATTGTTATTACTGTCTCTGTGGTCAGATGTAAATCTACCATTTTGTTGTTTCTACACTCTCCGTGTGTTCCTCCTGTTCTCATTTCCTGCCTCCTTGTGAAGCAGCTTTGTTGTGGAGGATTATTCTGTTTTTATCTCCATGATTGGCTTAGTTGTTGTACATCTTTAACCCCTAGAGTGCCGATCGCGCTCCTCCTGTCTTTCGCCAAAAGTGCCGGGAGCGCTATCGCGCTCCTCCTGCAGTGTCCAGTTCTAGGTCTGCTTTTATTAGTGATGATGATGTTGCTAAATATGTCAATTCTTGCTGTGAAGATGACGATTTTGTGGAAGATATTGAATATGTAACTTCATTTACTTGCGATTCCTAATTATTTTTTTCAACTGCTGTAAAATCAGCAAAAATGCCTTGGCGATTTTAGCATAGTTCCTAGGATATTAGTTGGCACTCAAAGGGTTAAGCAGTTGCTCTGCCCGGCTGATGTAGCTCAGTGGTGAGCATCGACCTATAACCAGGAGGTGGCAGTTCAATTCCTGGTCAGGGCACATGCCCGGGTTGTGGGCTCTCTCCCCAGTGTGGGGCGTGCAGGAGGCAGCCGATTGAGTCCCTCTCTCTCATTTATATTTCTCTCTCTCCCTTCCTCTTTGAGATAAATAAACAAATATATATATTTTTTAAATAAATGCTCTAAGATGTATAATAGTCACTTCTAATTTGTCACGATGTACCTTCAAATAATAGCTTAACGCCACACATACAGTATAAGAATTTCAATACAATATGCTTCCATTTCGCCCTCCTATCCTCTGTTTGGTCCTTAGTGTCCACGTGCTGTAAACCTAACGATGTATGTTAGCATCGTGGGTAGAAAGAGCCCACTATCACCTTTAAAAACTAAAAATAAGGGGAGAGCGACTTTCACGCTGGCCCACCCGTGACCGCCTGGCACTCCGCATTCTTCCAGTGACCCAGTCCCCTCCCAAATGCCTTCAAATCACCGCAGTTCACCCGGAACCAGCATTTTTACCTCGAATCATAAATGAGTTTTCACTGTATCTCATGTGCCTCTTGCTCTCTGTTGTGTCTGTCCTGTTGCATCCAATTTCTTTCTCTCTTGGTCCTTTAGTTCAATAAATCTAACCTGCCCGAGGTTCACTGTCCCTGCTTTTTGCTCTATTCAGCCTATTAAACTCATGCGTTAATTTCAGGTATATTTTTATATTATACAATATTCATTTGACTCCTTTTATATATTCCAATTTTCAGTTGAAATTCTCATTTTGTCCTCTATTGTATTTAACATATTAATCATAGTTATTTTTAAATACTTCTAACTATGCAGAAAAATGGTAAAAGTGACTGTTCTTTACAAAATGCCATCAGATTAGTAGAAAGCTCACTCCTTACACTTTAGACAGTAAATTAAGCTTCTTCTGGGAATGACATTTCATAGAAGGAAGGAGGACAAAGAGGGCGTGCTGGGTTGTGTCAGTGTCTGTCTAGGAAACAATCCTTACCTTTGCCAAGGTTTTTTTGGAGTAGATGTCAGTACGGAGACCAAAGTTCTGCAGATCAATCGGTTTTTCCTTGTTCTTCTCGGGAAAATTTAACATCTGCTGAGCAGCAGGGACCTATGAGTCACGTAAAGGATAAAGAGCTGCATTAGCCTCTACGAAGCCCGGGGGGCATCGGCTCAGCACAGGAGACCCGGCTGCCCTCTGAGGTCCCGCCCGAGACCCAGCCCTGGACCCTCCTCACAGACCTCCGGTCCAGTCTGCCCTTCCTTGGCTGGAGCCCAAGAGAGAGTGGAAGGGAGGGGGGAGGCAGAGAGAGAGACATCAGTGTGAGAGGAGACATAGCAACTGGCTGCCTCCCACACGAGCCCTGACCAGGCCCGGGCATTGCATTGAGCCTGCAACCAAGTTGTATTTCAGCTCCAGGCCCAGATCCGCGGGGAAACCAGCCACGGGAGGCGCCAGGACCAGCTGCCCTGGATAGTGACCCCCTGCCCTGGTGCCGCCGGCCCACAGTGGAGACCGCGCCAAGAGGACACACTGGGAAGCTGCTGCACATCCGACTGAGACCTTCCCCGGGAGCTGCCCTACAACCTCTGACCATAAAGCCCTTGGGATGGGGGGAGGGGGGAGCAGCCAGGGAGAGGTCAATGGGGGGAAAGGAGACATATGTAATGCTTTCAACAATAAAGAATTTAAATTAAAAAAACAGCCACCACCCTTAGGATGGAGGACCCAGCTCGTGCTCCCTCCAGGGTGCAGCCCCCCCACGCCCATCACCATTAGCTTCTTCCTCCCAAGCCCACAGGCCCTTCCTCCCTTGACCTCTAGACCAGTGGTTCTCAACCTTCCTAACGCCGCCACCCTTTAATACAGTTCCTCATGTTGTGGTGACCCTCAATTTCATTGTTACAAATGGAACATAATTAAAGCGTAGTGATTAATCACAAAAACAATATGTAATTATATATGTGTTTTCCGATGGTCTTAGGCAACCCCTGTGAAAGGGTCGTTCGACCCCCAAAGGGGTCGCGACCCACAGGTTGAGAACCGCTGGCCTAGACCTTGTTTGCTAAGCCCGTTGCTTCTAGGAACTACTTTTCCTGCCTCTGTGATCTGCCCAATAAACATTCTCAGTTAAGGGGACAGAAGTTTTTGAAGAATGGTTCAGCCCTGGCCGATCTGGCTCAGTGGACAGAGCGTCGGCCTGCAGACTGAAGGGTCCCAGGTTCAATATCGGTCAAGGGCACTGCCCAGGTTGCAGGCTCGATCCCCAGTAGGGGACGTGCAGGAAGCAGCCGATCAACGATTCTCTCTCATCATGGATGTTTCTCTCTCTCTGGCCCTCTCCCTTCCTCTCTGAAATCAATAAAATATGTTTTTTAAAAAAAGAATGTTTTAATAGTGGAACTTAATAAAACACCCACTACTGGTAGAGACTCTACAAAAAAATAAATACTAACACTTTCACACCCCCCTTCTAGCAAAATGTTAATACCTAAGAAACATTTTCCTGTCTCTATTAAGTCACAGAAAAAGCTGACAACACATTTTCCTAAACACGCCCTCCGTTTCCCACTGAGGGCCACGCAGAGCTCAGCCTCGCGTTCTTCAGACGCACGCTGCCCGTGATCTGCTGACAGTACTTTCAAGAACATGTGTGCGAGCGTCCACTTTCCAAATGTTCCGAAGGGGAAGGAGTTTTAAGCCACGTCCACAGCTTTACACAATCTGCTGTTTAATGTGCGTCTTCGAGGGCGGAGGGTGAGTCGGAAAGAATGTGCACTGTGTGGCAGGGAGCGGACAGAGCCCTGGGATTCGGGGGAGCGTTTCCTTCCACACTGAGCGATGCTGGACTCACACTCACAACAGAGAAAAGCAAACAGCACCGAGCAGCTGAAAAGAGCGCCATCACAGGATGATGATGGTGACGCCCGAAGATGAAGCTCCAGGTGGAAGCTGCTCCCTGAAGAGGGCAGAACGCACGTACCTGAGGGGATCGAAGGTGCAGAGGCACCAGCCCAGAGGGGGTGTCAGCCAGCACGTTGAAGTGGGGCGTAGGCGGGGGTCCCATCGCCATGGGTCGGCTTTCCGGGTCCACTTGGTAATTAACAAGGCCCCACTGCTCTAGGAAGGCGTGGACCCTGGAGAAGCAAGCTCTGAGTTACAGCTGGAGAACATGCCTTTTTATTTAAAAAACAAATAAACAAAAACAAGCAAACATCTTCTCTAGGCGGTGCACCATGAGACGTCGTTGGCAATTCTGGTTTGTGGAGGGAGGAGGGTCTCCAGGCACCGCAGGCCGGGCATAGAACCTCGTCTCCCATCAGCCATGAGGGCGAACACTCCGAGAGACCGGGAAGGACTCACACACCAGTTGGCCCACCTTCCGTCTCCCAGGCAGATCTGGGCACAGAGCTTACCCACTCCCCTCCCAGCCCACTCGCCACCCGGGGCATTTTACAATTTGACTCTAAAATAAAAGATCATAAAATTCCAAAGCATCACCAATATTCAGCCCGAGTGAAAGACAGGAGACTGGGCTGTTTTTATCCAGCAAGGAAACATCGGTCCCTCGATCGGACCTCAGGCAGCAGGTCTAGTCAGTGAGCCTGGAGGGAAGAGGCAGGCAGCAGGCGTGTACCTCATCACAGCACACACGTCGCCAGTCAAGTTCCTCCGACAAGCGGTGCTGGTCAGATATTCTTGGGGGTTCAGGCGATATGTGTCAATCATAAAATTTCGATACGCCAAGTATCTAAAAAGCAATGGCAAAATTCTTAGGGTGGACACACATCCTTTCAGAAACAATAACACATAGAGCAAAAAATCTGCATATTCCTCACAACTAAATACAACAAGAAGTTAAACGACACTCCAACCAGTAAGTGACACTGAGTATTTAGTCAACCAGTGTAACTGGGCAGGGCCCCTAATTCGCAGAACAACTCCTCACGAATGTGTGCACGAAGGAAGCTGGCCACGCTGACGTCAAGTAACATGGATACAAGCTGGGTCAGGTGAACGGAGAGCCGCCTGCAACTCCGCTTACCCAGATCCCCTCCTAGCGGACGGCCCTGGGCCCACAGACTCCCACCCGAAGGTGGAAAAGACTGTTTCCGACCCACAGTTCTGGCTGACTCTACAGACGAAACTCTCGGACACAAAGGGCTGACGGTAGGGGTCCAGCAATGTCCACGGCTTCGCCTCCGCGGGAGCCTGGGGGCCACCGTGCTGTCTCTGGCGCTGACTGCGATGCCAGGCCTGGTGCTGAGCACTCCCTGCCCTCCTCACTCAGCCCCACATGGCACGGCTGTCAGCGCCCGTTTTCAGGAGGAGACAGAAGCACCAGGTGACAAAGGTCTGTCTTGGGCTTCAGACCGGGGAGGGGCACGCTGGCTCCAGCGCAGATGTGTGCGGCTCTTGGCTGGTGCGGCGTCTCATCTCTACACTCTTCCTAGAGCCACGCGTGGACTTCGCTCTGACCTGGCTGTACACCTGCCTGACAGTTTCTCAGGGGCCAAACTCAGAGGTAACACAGAACATTTTTTTTTAAAGAGAGAAAAACAGATTGGGGGTCAGAGGAGATTCCACAATGTGCCCAAGCATTTTTGCCACAAAATACTTAAAGTAAGAGTGCGAAGAAGCTGGAGACCTAGCAACAGTTCTTGCAACAAAAGTCAGACAAAAGCCGGGCAGCCGAGGTTGGCTGCAGGCGAGCGGGAAGGCACTGCTCCAGCAGGGCCTGCAGAAGCACCGGGGCCGACGCAGCCTGGAGGTGAGTCCACAGCTAAACGGCCTGAAGTGCTAAAGGTGCTGCTCAGCAGGAGACTCCCAAGGGCCCTGAGAACTTACAGACGCTGGCAACTCGCCAGTCAGGTGGCAGCACAGACCATGACTGGGCAGAGGAAGGAAGTACCAGGGCACTCAGGGCTGATCATGGCAAACCCGACTCGGGCTCCAAATGGCTCCTGACAGCGTTTACAGCTTCAAGGCTGCGTTTCTCTCTGCCTCAAACTGCCCTGCACAGGCTCCCCCAGCCCATATGTGTGATCCCATCCCCCCCGCCAACAACCCCCACCCTCCCCCCCAAC